CCATATTGCATTAGGGAGCAGGTGCAGGGTCTTTTCCCTGGCGTAGGAGACATTGCACTGGGGAGACGGGTAGGGAGCTGCCCTAAGGTGTGTGTGGGTGCATCCACATTGCATTAGGTGGGCAGTGGCAGGGAACTTGCCCGAGGGTTGGGGGGATGTTCGCATTGCACCGGGGAGCGGGGCAGGAGTGAGGGGTGCATCCACGTTGCAATGGGAAGGGGGATTGTAGCGGGGAGGCAGAGAGCTGTCTTGGGGTTGGATGCGGGGCATCCACATTGCAATGGGGAGTGGGGGACACAGAACTTACCCTGGGGCTGGAGAGATGTCTCCACTTTACTTTGGGGAAGGAGATGAGCTGTGAGGGTGCATCCACATTACACTGGGGGGTGGGGACTAGAGGCTTGTCAATGGGACAGAGGTGGTGCATCCACATTGCATTGGTGGGGGCAGCAGGAAACTTGCCCTGGAGTTGGGCGGGGCACATCCACATTGTATTGGGGAGGGAGGTGGGGGGGGATAGGGAGCTTGTTCTAAGGTGATGGGGGGTGCATCCACATTGCTTTAGGCTGGAGGGGCAGGGAAGTTGCCCCAGGGTTGGGGTGGGGATGTGTTCATGTTGCATTGGGCAGGGGCGCAGGAGTGGGAAGCGGGATGCATCCAGATTGCAGTGGGAAGGGGAATCCTGGTCGGGGACAGGGAGCTGTTCTGGGGTTGGAGATGGGGCATCCACATTGCACTGAGGAGTGGGGAGCAGGGAACTTCCCAATGCAATGTGAAAGCATGTCCACAGCTCCAGATTGAAGCAGATTAGGGCAGGGGGCCTGAGAAATTCCCATGGGGTGTGAAGGTGCGTCGACATTACGCTGGGGGGCGGGATGGGGCAGGAGACTTATCCTGGGATTGGGGAGGTGCATCTACATTGCATCGGTGGGGCAGCAGGGAACTTGCCCTGGGGTTGTGGGGGACACATCCGCATTGCATTGGGGAGGGGGGCACAGGGATCCTGCCCTGGGGTTTGGGGGGTGTACCCTCCTAGCACTCAGGGGGGACCCATCTGTATTTCAGCTGTATCCCCCCGGGGGGGGGAGTGGAGGCCTCCATCCTGCCCTTGGGCAGGGGTCTGCATTGCTGCATACATGTGTCCATGCTGCCCAGGGCAGGGCTTTGGAGTCCTGGTTCTGTCCCCCTGATGAAGAGATGGTGGGGTGCTTCTGCCAGACAGTAGGAGGAGGGACCAAGGAGTGGGTATCTGGGAGGGAGAGGAGGGGAGAAATGCTCTCCATGCTAGGGGTCCACGCTGCACCATGGGAAAGAGCAGTTGCATTGCCCTGGCGAGGGGAGATTCAAAGACCATCACGCTGCAGTGGGGGGCATCTAAGTCCCAGATGTGTTGCCACAGGGGGCTTATGTATGGTGCCCTGGAAGAGGGTGTGGAGGGAACGTATGCACACTGCACGCAGAGGGAATGGGATGGGGTCAGGGAGGGGGTACCCACATCTCCCTGCCCTTGGGTGACAGAGGCAGGGAAGGATTGGTGGGGGTGGTAATTCTGTGCTGCCCCAGGAAGGCACAGACCTGTGTGACTGCGGACTAGGGAAGGGAGGGAGAGGTAGGGGGACTCCACAGGTGCTCTTACCTGGGACAGTCCGAGCAAAGTGCTGCCGCCTTACTGGGGTCTGGTGCAGGAAGGGCAGGGGGTGACTTGGGGGTGGATGGACAGACAGACATGTGTGGGGAGGGCTGAGGTGCTGCTCCTGCCTGTTTTCCAGCCCCTGGGTCCCGTGTGCCCCCAACAAGTGCTTTTAGTGGGGAAGGAGTTTACAAGAGAGGGGACAGAGTGGGGGACTCCTGTAAGGGAGCGGGGCTGGGACACTCATTACTGTGTCCCATGGGGGCTGGGGGAGGCACCTGCCGGGTGGCCTCTGGTGACACAGGCCTCCAAGAGGCCTCCCCCCAACCAGCTTGTTCCCCCTGCCCAGGGGCTGGATTAGAACTGGTGCCACCCAGGAAGGACAGAGGGGCACTGCTGGGGCCTGACAGGGCTGGCAGTGGGATGCACCATGATGGGCTCTCTTTGGTCACAGTGGGGCTCTGCTGCTGCTGGTAAAGAGGGGTCCTGCACCCAATGTTGGGTGGAGGGGCTAGTCCTGGCTTCTTGAGGCACCAAGTCAGGGACCCCCTCCCCCCACCCCTTGCTTGGCACTCTCTGCCTCCCTAGGATTTCCTCCTTGGTGGATCATTTCTCCCTAGGGCTCAGACCCCCTGACATGCCAGCCAGTCCTGCTGTGCTGCAGTCCTTGCCGGGTGGGATTGGCTCCCTGAACTCTCCTGGGTCTGTGTGGAGGGGTTCTTGCCCATTGCTGGCTCTTCTTTGCTTTTGTGTTGTGTGAGCTGGGCACACAGAGGCTGCCAGCAGCATCCTGCTGAGCTCCTCCAAGACAGGTCCCTGTTGGAGGGGGGAATGGCGACTCTGACTGTCTCCTTCCATGGCCCCAGGGAACAGGTACCATGCACCCCATCCATCCATCCATCTCTGGGCAGCCACATGCCATGGACAGGAGTGATGAGATGCTTTTTTGCAGGCTCAGTTCATTGGGCCTTTGAAGTAGCCAGGGCGGAAGCTCTGACAGTCGGAGTGACCCAGGCGCTCTGGCTTGACAGCTGGGGAGGGGTGGGAGCTGGGCCCCTCGCAGGCAGGCTGGGATGGCCGTAGTGGCGGAGGGAGAGAGCTGGGGCCAGCTGGCGCCAGGAGAAGCAAGGTTCCTGCATTTGTGCTGACTCTCCACGAGTTGGGGGCGGCTGCACTGGTGCTTGCCAGGCAGACTGGGCGTGCAGGGAGGGGAGCGCCTGGCAGGACTCCTGTATCCTGAGCCTAGCAGGGTTGACGACTGTCTGGGGCTCAGACTGGCCCCCATCTGGGCCCAAGGCTTCAGCTGTGGCTGGGCCAAGCAGGAGTGGGCTTGCTGTCTGGAGCTGTGAACTAAGGTGTGCCCTGGCAATGCAGCAGAAGAGGGAGCAGTGTTGTCTGGGGGAGGTGGCAGTAATGGGGGCTGGCAGGACCCTGGCACAGGTGGTTAGGGGTGGTGTCCTTGGCCATATGTGGCACCCTGCGGGGTGTGGAGCAGCCATGTAGGGGGGGTGCTGTCTATGCCCATGGGCTGTGTGGCGGGAGGCATGCTGGCACTGGGGCTCCTGCAGTGTGTCATGGGGGGGGCTGGGATCCAGGCACATCCAGGGACCCCCAGGGCGATCAGCTCAATGCAGAACCCCCTACTCCAAGCTGGCCCCCACTCTGTCCCCACACCCAGGCTGGGATCGAGAGGGGCAGCTACACGCATGGGCTGACAATAGCCCCTTGTGAGTGGGAGCAAACCAGGGGGGCCCGGGAGGAGTGGTGGAGGCAGAGGTCTCTCTGCAGCCATGCTGGATGTGTGTGTCTGTCTCTGGCAGGGTGGCAGCTTCGGCTTGGTCTGCTGGTTTGGGGGGGCGGTTCCCGTGGCAGAGCCTGACCAGCTGTGCAGGCTGGTGGGGGGGGTGCCACTGTGGGCTGAGACGGTGGCGCCGGGCCCGGTGGGCGGAGGCCAGGCTGTGCTGTGCCGGGCTGGGCCACGCTGCCTGCCGGGCTGGGGAGGGCACTGGTGCGGGGTGGAAGCCATGCAGTGGGTCCTGGTGGGGGGTTACCATGCACGGTGGGGGTGTGCTGTGTGTCTCTCTGGGCAGGGGGCTGTGACAGGGCTGTGGGACGATCTGTTTTCTCTGTGTATCATTTCTACCACCCCCACGTGTGCCAGGCCGGGCCAGACCTGTCCCCCCTCTACAGCATTGGCAGTACCCCACAGTGGGACCAAAGCTCTTCAGCTCCCAGTGTGTCTGGTCCTGGCTGCTCAAGCCTTGAGGGTCTGGGGGTGGGGGGAGCAATCCTCCGGGCTCAGATGAGTTCCCATGGAGAGTGGGGGGGCTGGTCCCCCCCCTGGGGTGTGTAGGGAGGGATCCTTCCTGTGCCCGTTGCTGGAAGCAGTGCGTGAAGGGGCTGGAGGGCATCCCCTTTCTGGGGGGTGCAGCGGGGGTCTGTGCTTTTGCTGGAAGTAGGGCACTTTGGGGGTGCTCCATAGAATATGGGAGGATTGGTCTGGGTGGAAAGGGTGCTTGAGGGGGTCTAATAGGGCCCTGAGGGTGTGGGATGCTAGGGGTTTGCCCCCTGGAGGACTGGGATGTGGGGGGGCTGTGGATTAGGACAGGGATTGTGTCTGTCAGGGCCCTGAGGATTGTGGGATGCTGAGGGTATGATCCCTCCTAATTCTCTTCCTCATCTCGCCTGCAGCCGGACACAGACTCCTGCTCACCCGTCCGTCTCCATGAGGCCGGGCCCCCCAGACACTGACCTCTGAGCTCCCGGTTGTGACGCTTGTTGGGGAGGGGGCTCCTCTCCCCCACCCAGATCCCCTTCTTCGCTGCCACGCCGCAGCCATGGCCGACCCTATCATGGACCTGTTCGATGACCCCAACCTCTTCGGCCTGGACTCCCTGACAGATGAGGGCTTCAGCCAGACCCAGCCTGACCCCATCGAGGAAGCCCTGGGGCTGCCAGGGGAGCTGGATCCAGCCCAGCCAGTGCAGCCACCCCCATCAGAGCCTGCTGCACCTGAAGCTCTGCCTCTGCCCCCCGAGGCACCGCCAGATGCCGCCCCAGGTCCTGCCCCCCCTGACTTGTCTCAGCCTGAGCTCCCCCCTGAGCAGGATGTCCTGAGCCAGGGGAACCCCTTTATGGGGGTGTCCAGCACCCCCGCAGCATCCGCTCCTGAGGGGCAGGCGGCCTCAGCCAGGCAGCTCCCTCCAGCCATGTCCACAGCACCCGCACCCAAGATTGTCATCCTGAAGGCACCAGCGGGGGGCTCAGTGACAGGGGCTCACGTGGCTCAGATCCAGGCCCAGCCACTGGGTGCAGCCAATGGGGGCAAGGTGACCTTCGCCAAGGTGTTGACGGGCACCCCACTGCGCCCTGGCGTCTCCATCGTCTCTGGCAATACCGTGCTGGCCACCAAAGTGTCCCCATCCGGGACCACAGGCAGCCCTGCCACTGTACACCGCCTGGTCCAGCCTGGTCGGCCTGTCAAACAACTAGTGCTTCAGCCTGTCAAGAGCCCGGCGGGGGGCACCAGTGGAGCTCCCCTCAAGCCTGCCGTCACTCTGACCTCTGCCCCAGCCCAGGTGAGAGCTTTGAGGGGGTTGGGGAAGGCTGGTTGAACTGGCTCTGATACCCCAAGCTGGGGCAGGTGGATGTACATGGGCTGTGGGGTGGTAGCCATGGGGGTTCCCTGAGGCAGACATGCCTGACTGACCCCGCTGCGTGTCCTGTCTCTGCACACCTACTCAACACCCCCACCCCCCCGGTCTCTTTTTTCCACAGGGTGAATCAAAACGCATTACCCTGGTGCTGCAGCAGCCGCAGGGTGGGAGCGGCCCCCCTGGGCAGCGTCTCGTGGTGCTGGGCAGCCTGCCGGGGAAGATCGTGCTGCAGGGCAACCAGCTGGCTGCGCTCAGCCAGGCCAAGGGAGCACCAGGCCAGCCTGCCAAGGTGGTGACCATCCAGCTGCAGGTGCAGCAGCCTCAGGGGGGCGGGCAGCCTGGGGCCCCCCAGAAGATCCAGCTGCTGCAGCAGAGCCCTGCCCCCAGCACCACGGGGCAGCCACCACAGCCTCCCGTGGCTGTGTCCTCTGTGCAGCAGGCCCAGGTGGTTGGGAGCACAGGGCAGCGACTCACGGTGCCCCTGAAGGTTGTGCTGCAGCCCCAGGTAAATATCGGGCTGGGGCTCTGGGGAGCCCTATCTGTGATGCTTCTGGGGCAGAAGGGGTCGAAGTGGGTGCTTGGGGTTGGGGTGCTGCTGGTGGGGCAGGGGCCTGGGGATGCTGGGTGGGGGTGGGTGCTAGGGGTGCTGGATGGGGCATGACGGGTGTAGGGGCCGGGACCACGGGCCCAGGGGTTCTGTCCATGCTGCAACCCCTGTCCCGCTCTGCCGCAGGCTGGGTCCTCTCAGGGCGGCTTTTCGGGGCTGTCAGTGGTGAAGGTGCTGAGTAGCAGTGAGGTGGCAGCACTGTCAGGCCCTGGGACGCGGGGGGGCGCGGTGGAGGAGAGCCGCAAACTGGAGCACCAGAAGAAGCAGGAGAAGGCGAACCGCATTGTAGCCGAAGCCATTGCACGGGCACGGGCGCGGGGCGAGCAGAACATCCCCCGCGTGCTCAACGAGGACGAGCTGCCCAGCGTGCGACCCGAGGAGGAGGGCGAGCGCAAGCGGCGCCGTAAGGGCGCATCCGACCGTGGCGGCCCCAAGGAGGAGCGGCCCCGCAAGGGCAAGGGCTCTGGCAAGAGCAAGGGCCGCAGCAAGCCCAGGTGAACAGCCCTGGCCCAAGGGATGGGAGCTTCCCAACCTGGGGCCTTGTCCTTGGGCCCCAGACTGGGTGTGGCTCATGGGGAGGGGGCCCTCTGGGTTGGGGGTGGCCCCACAGGGGCTGACGCACTGGTAGCAGTGGGGGTTGGAGGGAAAAGCTTGTAATAGCCAAAGGGACTGGGCTGGGTGCTCTCTAGGCATGTCTGTGTCAAGTCTCTGCCCTATGCCCAGGGCATGCAGGATGGGTGTGTGAGGCTTCCCCACCCTCACGCTGCTCGTCTGTGTCCCTTCCTACCCCTTAGCACCATCACGCCAGTGGTGGGAAAAAAGCGCAAGCGCAATGCTTCCTCTGACAACTCGGATGCCGAGGTGATGCCAGCACAGTCCCCCCGTGAGGAGGAGGAGACCAGTGTCCAGGTGGGAGCCAGGCTGGGCTGGGAGGAGGGTGACCTTAAGGGCAGGGGACTCCTTGCTCTGCCAGCTGCCACAGTGCTGTGGTTCATGCCTCAGGGAGAGGAGCAGCTCTACATCCCTGCGTCTCTGCTACACCCCTGGCCTGGAGGGCAGGGGGTCTTTGCTCCCTGCCCCTTAGTGTGACCTCAACCCGTGTGTGTGTGTGTGTGTGTTTGGGGGGGTCTCTGTGCCTGTGGCCCTGGCGTGCACTGCCCCTGTCCGGTGAAGCCTGCCTCTGCTCTTCAGCTTCTCACCCCTGCCCCCTGTGCCTCCATCCTGCCCCCCCCCAGAAGCGACGCTCGAACCGGCAGGTGAAGCGGAAGAAGTACACAGAGGACCTGGACATCAAGATCACAGACGATGAGGAAGACGAGGAGCTGGATGTGACAGGGCCAGTGCGGCCTGAGCAGCCCCCCATGCCCCAGCCTCCTGCTCCAGAGCCTGAGCCCGAGGGCGAGACCCTGCCCTCCATGCAGTTCTTTGTGGTGAGCTGGGGTTGAGGGTGCAGCCCTGTCCTCAAGGTGTACCAGGGGTGGGGGGAAACACTGGGCCAGAGTGTGAAGGAGGCACAAAGAGTCCAGGAGGGGATCGGCCCCTGCATGGCGTGGGAGACCGGCCCTGCCAAGTCTTACTCCCAGTCCTGTGCTCCCTCCCCAGGAGAACCCCAGTGAGGAAGATGCTGCCATCGTCGACAAGGTCCTGGCCATGCGGGTGGCAAAGAAGGAGGTGAGTGGGGTGGGGTAGGGGGAGCCAGGGGCTGTCAGGCTTGGGGTGGAGGGAACAGGAAACACAGGGCTGGGCACTAGATCTGGTCTGACATGGGTGGTGAACAGGTTGGGGTGGTGGGGTGTACAGGCTTCGGGCTTCTGGGAGGGTCTGGGCCTGCTGCTGCGCTAACACTGCCTCCTCCCTGCAGCTGCCTTCAGGACAGTTCACAGAAACGGAGGAGTTCTTCGTCAAGTACAAGAATTAGTAGGTGTCCCTTTCCCCCTCTGGCTTGGGAACCAGTGTCCCCTGTGGATGTCATTGAGTGCAGGGGAGGGGAGTAGAGGGGCCTTGGCCAAGAACTGCAGCCCTTGGCAGGAATGTGCCTGTTCTCACTGGGAGCAGTCATGTTTCAGGGGTAATGGTGCCTCTGCTCCAACCCTATCACAAGGCTTATGTTGCGTTGATGCGAGGCCCTGACCCAGGCGGGGCCCAGGGTGTGGTAGGAGGAGTAGATGCTCAGGCGTCCTGATGACAGCAGGGACCAGCAGCCATCACCTGCTTCCTTGCTTGAAACCCCCAACCGTCCTCCTCCAGCAAGCCCCATACCCCAAGGAGCCCTGCCTCTTTGCGCTCCTGTTGGCAGCCCCACACTACAAGTGTCCCTGGCCTGCAGCCACTCCATCCCTGCGCTCCAGACACCACTTGGGGCCTTGCCTGGGGACCTTTTTCTCTTCCCAGCTTCCCCTATATAAAGGAGCTTTTGGTAGCCTTTCTCCCCTCAGCCGCCAGGCTCATTAGCAATGCCTGGTTGTGCTGGGGATGTTAACTATGTTAGCTAGCGCTCCTGCTCCCAAACCTGCCTGGAAGAAGTGCCTGGTCTTGGTTGAGTTGGAGTTTCTTGAAGCTTCACCCCAGAATCTCCCTGGGAAATGCTAGTTCCTGGCCCCTCCTCAGATCTCCCTCTCTGGTGGGAGGGAGCAGGTGTTGTCCTGTGAACGGGCCACCACCACTGCCTAGGTGGAGGGAGGAAGACAGGGTGCAGTGAGTATCTCCCTGGGTCTCTAACCTTCCCCCCCACCCCTCCTAGCTCATACCTGCACTGCGAATGGGCCACCATTGACCAGCTGGAGAAGGACAAGCGCATCCATCAGAAGCTGAAGCGCTTCAAGACCAAGATGACCCAGATGCGGCACTTCTTCCATGAGGTACTGATAGGGGTGGGGGCTGTAGGCCTCTGGGGTGGGATGATACTTGCTCCTTCTTACTTGCAGTGAGGGCAGATCTGGGCTCCATCTGCCTGACAAGAGTGGGGACCCAGAGCCTCTCCTTGCCCCTTATGCCGCCTCTCCTCCACCCTCAAGGATGAGGAGCCCTTTAATCCTGACTACGTGGAGGTTGACCGGATCTTGGATGAGTCCCACAGCATCGACAAAGACAACGGAGAGGTGGGCTGGGCCTGGCGCAAGGCAGGGAGGGGCAGAGGCTGCCTCTGTGGAGAAGGAGAGCTGGGGGCAAGTCCCGCTGGTCGGGATGGAAGGAGGCAGAGGCCACGACACTGCAGATGCTGCCAAGGTTTTTCCTGGGGTGTCCTCAAGTCTGGGGCATAGCTGGGGAGTGACCTGGCTCCACAGGGATCCCAGCCCAAAGCCCCTGGGTTTGGGAATTGGCCAAGCTGCTGTGGGGCAGCAAGGAGGGCACCATTGGGTGAGGGGCCAGTGCAGGGTCAGGAACCCTCCACGTGATGGTGCATCCATGTTTGTCTCCTCCCCACCAGCCGGTGATCTACTACCTAGTGAAGTGGTGCTCACTGCCGTATGAGGACAGCACTTGGGAGCTCAAGGAGGATGTGGACGAGGGCAAGGTCTGCGAGTTCAAGCGCATCCAGGCCCGGCACCCTGAGCTCAAGCGGGTGGTGAGTGGCCTCAGCCCCCTGCCCCTGAGCCCTGTCTCCTGGTGCCCACAGTCCCTCCACAATGGAGAGGAGTGTGCTGGGGGCAGGATGCTGAGAAGGGTCACTGTGGGGCTTCCCTGGTAGCACCAATGCTTACAATGCCTCCATTGGTCTGCCCCTGCTCAGGCCCGGCCCCAGGCTGGCTCCTGGAAGAAGCTGGAGCTCTCGCATGAGTACAAGAATCACAACCAGCTCCGTGAGTACCAGCTGGAGGGTGTCAACTGGCTGCTTTTCAACTGGTACAACAGGTGAGTGAGGGCAGCTTGCAGTCTGCTGCCCCATCTGCGGGGTCTCTGGGGATAGGGCAGCTCTAACCCCAGGAATGGCTCTGGGCAGAGCGAAGAGGAAGGGTACACGTGTGTGTGACTGTGTGTGTGCGTGTGTGAAGTTGGCCTGGGGGGTTACTAACCCCGTGCCCCCCTCCCCTCACCCACACAGGCAGAACTGCATCCTGGCAGATGAGATGGGCCTGGGCAAGACGATCCAGTCAATTGCCTTCCTGCAGGAGGTCTACAATGTGGGCATCCGCGGCCCCTTCCTGGTCATTGCACCACTCTCCACTATCACCAACTGGGAGCGGGAGTTCAACACCTGGACTGAGATGAACAGCATCGTCTACCATGGCAGCCTGGCATCCCGCCAGATGATCCAGCAGTATGAGATGTACTGCAAGGACTCCCGGGTATGGAGATGGGGAGATGTATGCCGTCAGGGCTCTAGGGTGCTGCTGGGGGCTGCTAGGGATGGGTATGCAGACCCCTGTGTTCTGGGCATCACTGTGGGTGTGGGGGGAGACCTGGGGTCTCTTTGGGCAGGCCAAGGCCTGACACCTCCCCGTCCACCCCCAGGGCCGTCTGATCCCTGGCGCGTACAAGTTTGACGCGCTGATCACGACCTTTGAGATGATCCTGTCAGACTGCCCTGAGCTGCGGGAAATCGAGTGGCGCTGCGTCATCATCGACGAGGCCCACCGCCTCAAAAACCGCAACTGCAAGCTGCTCGACAGCCTCAAGCACATGGACCTGGTGAGAGGCAGGGCACAAGCTGCACCCTCTGCCCCCCACGTGCACATATATGGGTGTGAAGGTGGGACCAAGGGCAATGTTGGCACCTGGTCACCACTGGGGGCTGCCTGTGCCTGGGGGAAGCAGTCTTGGGAGGGGGTTTGTGGGGCTTGGGCCCTGTCCTCAGGGGGGCTGTGTGGAGGGTGGGACCTGGCTTCTTTGTGAGGGATCAGCGGGGTCCACCCGCTCGCCTGACATGCTCTCTGCCCCCTACCCTGGGCAGGAACACAAGGTGCTGCTGACGGGCACACCCCTGCAGAACACGGTGGAGGAGCTGTTCAGCCTGTTGCACTTCCTGGAGCCCTCGCAGTTCCCCTCCGAGGCAGAATTCCTCAAGGACTTTGGTGACCTCAAGACCGAGGAGCAGGTGAGGAGGGTGGAGGGTTGCAGCCCCTCCCTCCCAGCTCAGCCCATGGCACTCCTGCAGCCTGCTTGCACCCTCTTGGCCTATGGCCTCTCATTCCTTCCCCACCCTGCTCTTCATGGCTTCCAACCCAAGAGACCACTCAACACAGCCCCTACCAGGACACCCCTGACCCAGCCTGGGCACCTTGTCCTGTTCCCCATGCCCCACAACTCTTGAGCTCCCTGTAGCTCCCCGCCCCACGCTCTGCACCCTGCCCTGCCCACAGGTGCAGAAGCTGCAGGCCATTCTGAAGCCTATGATGCTGCGGCGGCTGAAGGAGGATGTGGAGAAAAATCTGGCGCCCAAGCAAGAGACTATCATCGAGGTGGAGCTGACAAACATCCAGAAGAAGTATTACCGTGCCATCTTGGAAAAGAATTTCTCTTTCCTGTCCAAGGGGGCAGGGCACACCAACATGCCCAACCTGCTCAACACCATGATGGAGCTGCGCAAGTGCTGCAACCACCCCTACCTCATTAATGGTGCGCTCAGGGCATGGGGGAGAGGCTGAATAGATATGCCTGCCCCTCCTGACAGTGGGACAGGTCACAGGCTGCTCCTTTTGGGGCCATGTTGTAATTGTTAGTGCTGCTCAGTGGAGATGGGCCCATGGTTCTGTTCTGCTGCCCAGATCAGCTGGCATGTACTCGGGAGCTGGAACTCCCAGTCAGGGATGCTGTGGGAGCCCTCGGGCGAGGGTGTGGGACAGGAACTCGGTCTGGAGCTCTGCCCTTTGCAGTCTGGGCCACCCCCAACCCTGTGATGGAGGGAGGGAGTGGCTGAGCTAAAGTCCCTGCTGGGCACTAGGGAGTGCTGTGCCATTCTTCCGGGCATGGGTCTTGACAAGGCACGGGTGAGCCATGCTACAACCGCTGCCCCCTCTCCCACAGGCGCAGAGGAGAAGATCCTGGCAGAGTTCCGGGACTCCTGCCACCACCACGTGCCTCCCGACTTCCACCTGCAGGCCATGGTGCGCTCAGCCGGCAAGCTGGTGCTCATTGACAAGCTGCTGCCCAAGCTCAAGGCTGGTGGCCACAAGGTGCTCATCTTCTCCCAGATGGTGCGCTGCCTTGACATCCTGGAAGACTACCTCATCCAGAGGAGGTGAGGGCAGGGACTCGGGGCGGGGAGCCCCCCTGGGGCAGGGAAGCTGGAAGACATGGCCAGCCCAGGCACTGCCGCTGGGGCCTCATGCCAATGCCAATCCACCTGCAGGTACCTGTATGAGCGGATCGATGGGCGGGTGCGGGGCAACTTGCGGCAGGCGGCCATCGACCGCTTCAGCAAGCCTGACTCGGACCGCTTCGTGTTCCTGCTGTGCACACGGGCTGGCGGGCTGGGCATCAACCTCACTGCTGCTGACACCTGCATCATCTTCGACTCTGACTGGAACCCCCAGAACGATCTGCAGGTAAAGGGCACCCTGCCCTGGGCTGGGCCAGATGGGTGAGGAGCGGGGCAGGGCAAGGCAGGC